AGCTTTACTCTCAAGAAAATGTTAAACTACAGGGGAAATAGTTTATATCATTTATTCTATTGTATTTGTGCATTGATATATCAGGTAATTGGTTTAACAATGTATCTACTTTTAGGAATTGAATTTTTCAGAAAATTCTGTATCATAAAATGATTTCATCAACTCCTTCAGAGTTTTAAACAGTGGTCTCTGATAGATTTTTGCCAAATACTCTAATGGGACATTTAAAACAGGGCTGCAATACCGCTGTATAAGCTTAATAGGCAAAGGAATTTTTAAGGTCAAAGTAGTGTCATTGCTTTAAATCTTTGAATAATTTTCCTGGTACTTTCAATTAGCTTTTCCTTGTCATGTTTGTTGCTCAGTTGTGAGCATATTCCTAGTTTTATGTCATAATTGGAAGACAAATGTAAAATAAAGGAGAATATTTAAAGGAAATGGTAAGGTCCCTCTGGAAAAATATGTGTAGAAATGGGTCTTAGTTTAAGGGAACATTGGAAAAGCAGCTCAAAGTTATTTTTTTGCATGTAAATATTTCCACTTATTTCTAACTTTGTCTCTAGCTCTTTGAAATTTAGATTAAGCAACTTTTTCTGTGGAATGTTGGTAAAAGTCTATAAATAGAATCTTGACTACTGGAATCAGTTTTCATCAGATTTGCTCTTTCATAATAGCATTTTTTTAGGACAACCACACAACTAAAACATTACAGGATATTGAATTACAAGCTTCTGGAATTCCATTTTTAATTTCTTTTGTTAGCATACTTTAAAGGAGTATTTCCCTTAGTTCCTTTTAGAAAAGGAGGGTGAATTAAAATGATTCTAGCCTGCAGTTTAAATTTCCTCATTTGTGGGTTTGCATAACACTTTTACAATGATTGAAAATGTATTTTGTGGTTTGACTGTTTTCTAAAGAATTCAGTACTTAAATGTTCTGTGTGTGCTTTGGGAATTTGACAGCAACACACTTTGTTGTCACAGCTGCTTTAACTTTATTGCAAGACATTTTAAAATCACACTTGAAAACAATGAAAATATTTGTATCACTTCTCTGTGTGTGTTTTTTAACAAGCAAAAAATATGCCCTACCTTGGTAATTCTGTTTCTCACTGCTCTCCACCATTCCAATGTTGAAAATTCTTGCTGTTTTTTATACAAACTCAATTTTCTGACCACATGCCTTTGCTTTGGCTTTTTCTTCTTTTTGGATTCCACCCTAAAACCATGGTCAAGTCTTAGTCATCATAAAAGGCCTAAAAAAGAAGTGAATTTTCTTTGATTACAATCAAAGTAATTTTACTCTTTTTTAAGTTCTCTTCTGTATTCTCCCTTTCTCTCTGAGATACCTTATAGTTTTTTGTCTTATGTGTAGTCTATATATATACTTCATTTCCCCTATAGTATCCTGGATTCTTATGAACAAATAACCTACAAAATTAGGAATATTATATTTAAACATGGGTAGTGCTTAAAATAATGACTTGATTTACATTTTTATTAAAAAATTTATTAAAAACACCATTGCATAGTGTGAAAATTGAAAAATAGTTCTTGTTAGAATAATAATATTTTGCTGTTGAGTGATAAAGCTTTTAATAAGTTCAGAGTGATAAGCAATTATAGATTGCTTTTATCTTTAATAGTGTCTGTTCTGTGCTTCTGTGTCAGGATAGGGTAGGTTCAATCTGTAGTCTGTGATAAAGAAGGGAGTTCAGCACACTTTTTTTTTTTCTAAGTGGACACCAGTATGTAGGATGTCAGGATAGGATATAGCATTTAGCTTTCTAGATGACTCTCATCTCTCTGTGTTAGATGTGATTCCCAATTAGTTATAAATTCACAAGATTTTATAACTATAAATTCAGTTATAAATATACAGGAGAGAACAATTCTATTCCCAAATAAGCATGATAGGAATTAGAATCCAACCACTTCTCTTAGGTTCAGGATTGGATACTGGAGAACCGGTTAAGAAGCTAACAAAAATGAGTAAGGTAAAATAGCCAAGTGGAAATTAGTGGTAATAAGTGAAAGAATTCTGAGAAGGAAATTACAGCAACATCCATGTGTGGATGCACAAGAGAAGGCTATCCTGGCATAAAAGAAAGAGAAGGACCAGGCAGTCAGTCTTAATGTGGCTATGTTGGATGGAGTACTCAGTCCTTGGGCATGATTTCTTTTCTGTCTTTTCATCTCATAACTTTTTGGTGATCTCATTTAGTCACAAGGTTTTAAACACTGTCTGTTAGCCCAGTTTTCTTTCCAAAATACACTCAGAGTTCAGACTTACTTCCAAGCTCCAGACCCAGTTGCCTACTTGATAAACTTCTATTTGAATATCTAATAGCATAGACTTAATAGGTCACAAAGTAATACTCTAATTCTAGAAACATCGGCCATCCCATACCTCGGCAGCCTGCACTATCCTGCATTCTAGTTTATCTCAGTTGATGGCACTCCATCTGTTTTGTTACTAGGACCAAAATTTTTAGTCATCCTAATTCCTCTTTCCTTCACTTCACTTCCCATCTGTCAGATTTCTATCTTATATCTGCTGCTACCAGGCCATCATCATTTCATATATTAGTACAGATGCTAGTTTGAAAGAAATTGATTATAGGCAGTTTTATAGTGTCTATGATGTGAAATTTCAATGTTTCAAATAGTATTTTTTGACAAAGAGAATATTCTGCCAAAATGGTTCTTTTCTGATTGGATTACATTGCATTTGTTCATAAAATACCCAAGAAGCAGCTTTTAATAGGAAACCAAATGGCTATGAAAGACAAAAATATACATAAGTTTACCATATTTTGCCTTAAGAAAAGAGGGCCCAACCCTCCCTGGTGGCACAGTGGGTTAAAGCACAGCACAAAGAAGCTTAAAACACTTCCACTTGAGTTCGATCCCTGCCTGCCCCCGAGGTGGTCACATGGCAGACCTCTCTTTACACTGCGGCTGCTCCCCTCAGGAGTGTACTTCGTCGATCTGCCTGTTCTGCTCCCCACTCTGTCCCTGGTGAATTCTCTCACCCTCCGCATCTCTGGCCTGTACCCCAGTTCTGTACGAATAAGTAAATAAATCTTTAAAAAAAAGAAAAGAAAAGAGGGCCCTCCCTCGTGGTGCAGTGTGTTAAAGCACAGTACTAAGAAGCTAAAGCCACTTCAGCATGAGTTCGATCCCCAGCCCCAGAGGTGATCCACATGGCATGGCAGACCTCTCATGTCTCACCCGCTGCTTCCCTCGGCAGTGTACTTCATCAGTCGGCCTGTTCTGCTCCCCACTCTGTCTCTGGTGAATCCTCTCACTGGCCCTGCACCTCTAGCCTGTACCCCAGTTCTGTATGCATAACTAAATAAGTCTTAAAAAAAGAATTGAGAACCATGTTTTTAGGTGGTTGCATAGGACTATGAAGAACATTGGTCTGCAATTTGACATGGCTGTCTCACTTGTTAAAACATGCATTCAAATCTAGCTTTCTTCCCTAACATTGTTATTGAAGACATTTCAAATTCATAAAATTTCAGGAGAACATACTGTTGACTTAAATTTTCAAAGAGGATTAATTTTTACCAGTTCACAATTTTATTGTTATGTGATATTGATTGTGATTATCAGTGTCTTTAACTTAGATTAAATCTAAAAAGTCAGAAAGTATAAATGATTCCATTCTAGTAAAAATTGTTTTTGGCAAAGCAATCCTGTTCGATGGCCTGATTTGACTTAAAATCAGTGTAACCCATTTAGACTGAATAATAATATAATTGGTAGTCACAGTTCTGTTGTGATTTTCCTATCGCAGTTTCTAGAATCTATAACACAGTTTACTTAGCATTTATCTTAAAACCTATAGTAAATTCATTTTGAAGTAGTAGGACAAAACAAAATTCTCTCTAAGTTTGTTTTGTTGAGCCTGATTTATAGCATTGTTTTTGGGAAGAAATTTTAAAAATTGCTCTTCAACATAAACTCTTAGGCACTCACACTGGCAAACATTTAATAAAAATTGGAGATTGACTAAATCTTTAAAGAAAATTGGAGATCTTATTGATCACATTTAACTTCAGTCAAGTTTTAAATGCAAACAAAATTCCAAATTTCAATCAGTATTTTGATGAAAAATTTGACTTTCCTTATTTTTGAAAACTTACTTCCAAATCTGATGACTTACCAAAGGAATTAACAATTTCAAAGCACCAAATTATCATCAACCTGAGGGTCCATAAATTGCTATAAAACATTCCACAAACCCCTTTTTTAGACAGCTGCCTCTATATGGCCAATTTCATTGAAAGGGAGACCATAGAATTTAGCAAATTATTAAAGAAATTCATGATCTCCTAAAAAGTTTAAGAATTATTGATTCATAATATATCTTCATATATAGATCAATAGATATAGATACACATATATGGATATATGTACATCCATATATGTGTAAAGTTTTTGAGCCAAGCTTATTTTTTTTTTTAATTTTTTATAAAGGTTTATTTATGCATACAGACCTAGGATACAGGCCAGAGGTACAGGAGCATTGAGAGGATTCACCAGAGACAGCTGGGAGCAGAACTGGCAGATCCACTGAAATACACTGCCTGCTGATGGGTGCAGTGGGTGAGCCAGGAGAAGTCTGCTGTGCCATGTGGAATCTCCCTGGTGGGGATCAAACTCGTGCTGCAGTGGCTGCAGGTAGCATCATACTGCTTTGATTTAACCAGTTGTACCACCAAGGAGAGCCCCTAAGTTTAGTTCATATGATTGACAATGAAAGTTCTCTTGTTTCTAAGCTCTATGATCTAAGTTTTGAATGATCAAGTCAATCAAGGTATTTTTGTCAATAATGCTAGTATTAGTAGAGCATGTTGATTGGATGTATTGTAACTGCACATTGTATGAACAGACTGGAATATTCATTTAAGTGATTTGTATTTCCTCTGGTTATAATTTTAAACAGTTCCCTTTTCTTTTTCTTTTTATTCCTGCATGGTTATAAACCAGTAAGCATTGCTGACCCTGCTGCCCTTGGCTTCATCATTTCTCCATGGTCTCTCCTGTTGCTGCCATCAGGGAGTGTATCATTTACAGATGAAAATATTTCCAACCAGGATCTTCGCGCATTCACTGCACCTGAAGTTCTGCAAAATCAGTCACTAACTTCTCTCTCGGATGTTGAAAAGGTAACCATTGATTCTCTTGCTTGATTATATTTTTTTATTTTGGTGGAGATCACAAAGGACACGGAGGTACTTTTCTTCAACCCTCTGGGGAAAAATATAAAATGTAAAATGATAGTGTGTTCAAAAAGTTCCTATTTTTAAGAATTAAAATAGTTCTACAAAAACCGATGGGTCTAGAGGAAAATGTGAGCAATTATTGATACTCCCAAACACATTTTATGTGGCCAGCATTACCACAATGCCTAAGCCAGGCAAGGACCCACAAAAACAAACAAAAACAAAAAACTACAGACCAATTTCCCTGATGAACATAGTTGCAAAAATCCTCAACAAAATCTTAGCAGACAGAATCCAACAAAGGATCAAAAGTATCATGCACCATATGCATGTGTGATTTATTCTTGGGTCAAAGAATAGTACAACACCTCAAAATCAATCAACATAATTCATCATATCATCCAAAAGAGTAATAAAATTCGTAAACCATATCATTCAGATTTAATGAGACTCAATATCTATTTTATTTAAGATAAAATCTTCATTGAACATGCCGCAACACAATTAAGGTCACATGTGACAGAACCACAGCTATTATGCTCAGTGGTAAAAAAACTTAAAAAAGCTTTTTCATCAAAGTCTGGTCCAAAACAAGGATGGTCACTTTTACCACTACTACTTAACATGGAAGCCTAAACTGAAGCAGTTAGGCCAGTGGAGCATATTAAAGGAATTCATACTGGGAAAGAAGTAGTAAAGCCATCACTCTTTGCAGATGATACAAGTATTTCTATTTCTTGAAGTTTCCGCTAAAAGTAACTGTAATGATAAATCACTATAATGCAGTGGCAAGTTACCAAATGAATTTACAAAAATGAATGGTGTTCCTGTGTGCAAGAACAAGGTAGAAGAGGAAGAAGTCAAGAAAACAATGCCACTACAATCATTTTACCTGAGTCTTTGCTTTGTTTCTCTATAGTCCGTATTTAAGTGACACACCAACACTTCTCATTGCTGGTCTTTTTGATATATGCCGTTCTCAATAGTGTGAGATGATATGTCATTGTGTTTTTGACTGGCATTTACCTGATGATAGTAACATGATGATGAACTTTGTTATATATACCTGTGGCCATTTTTATGTCTTTGGAGAAGTGCTTTTTAGCTCTTCTGCCCATTTTTTGATTGAGCTGTTTTCTTGTTGTAGTGCTTTGCAGACCTCGATCATAACTCTAATTGATTGTATGGTGTATGGTGCAAATATTTTCTCCCATTCAGTAGGCTGCCTTTTTGTTTCAGTGATAGTTTCATTTGCCTTTCAGAACCTTTTTAGTTTGATGTAGGCCCAATTGTTTATATATTCTCTTTTGTTCATCTTGTTGGAGAAAAGTTCACACAGACATCACTGAAATCTAGGTTGTGGAATATTTTGCAAGTATTTTATCCTATGCATTTATGGTCTTGGATCTTACACCCAAGTCTTTTGTCCTTTTTGAGTTAATTTTTGTATATGGTGTGAGATAGTGGCCTAATTTCATATTTTTACATGTGGTCTTTTTTCCAGTGTATACTCTCAGCTCCTTTGTCATAAATTAACTGTACATATAGGCGTGGGTTTATTTCTGGGCTCTGAGTTCTACTCCATTTGTCTATGTGCCTGTCTTTGTTTGAATACCATAGTTAATTTTTGTTTGTTTTTATAGCTTTGACATCTGGCAGTGTGATACAGCCACTTTTCCTTTTTTTTTTTATCAGGATTGCTTTTCTATTTAGGGACTTTTGTGACTCCATATGAATTAGTAATGTGTGTTCTATTTGTTGGAAGAATTACATTGAAACTTTGATAGGGATTGCATCATACCTGTAAATTGCTTTGTGTAAGATGGCCGTTTTAACAACATTAAATCTTCTGTTCCATGAGCAAAAAATATATTTCCATTTCTTTGTGTTTTCAATTTCTTTTAATACTGTTTTATAGCTGTCATTATAGAGGTCTTTATTAGGTTTACTCCTTACATCTTTTTTTTTTTTTTAAAGATTTATTTATTTATTCATACAGAACTGGGGTACAGGCCAGAGGCTCAGGGGCGGTGAGAGGCTTCACCAGAGACAGAGTGGGGAGCAGAACAGGCAGATCGACGAAGTACACTGCTGAGGGGAGCAGCGGGCGGGCCAGGAGAGGTCTGGCTCGCCATGTGGTCTCCTCCGGGGCAGGCGGCAGGCGGGAATCGAACTCATGCGGAAGTGGCTTCAGATTCTCAGTGCTGTGCTTTAACCCACTGCGCCACCAGGGAGGGCCCATCTTTTTTGTTTTTAATGCCTATAAGAACTCGGGTCTAGTCCAGAGCTGCAGGGGGTGAGAGGATTCACCAGAGAAAGGATGGGGAGCAGAACAGACAGATCTACTGAAATAAACTGCTGAGGGGAGCAGCAGGAGAGATGGGAGAGGTCTGCTAACTACCATGTTGAATAATCATTATTATTTTATCATTTAAAAATGGACATCCTTACACAGATCTTCGTGGAAAAGCTTTCAATTTCATATCAAAGGCTCAAACTCAAGTTCAATGATACCTTTAGAGGTCAAAATAATGGTTTCTATAGGCCATTTAAAATTCAAGAACTATATGTAAAAACAAATGTATATTTATTTTTCTGAACAAGGAGTCATAATCTTTCACCAGATTTTTTTTTTTTAAATCCTAAAAGCAGTGACTATATGCTGCTGGTGCCCAGATTTACATATCTTTAATACAAAATTATTGGCGTACATATTTAGCCATTTATTAGATATCTGCAGTGCAGTCACACAGATAACTCAGAGTCTATAGATCTGTAAGTAAAGACATTATTTCTTCTCACACCCTGAAACCTATGTCTTCTTCTCTCTATTTCCCATAAATGTATGGAACTTTATTTCCCCAATTTGCAAGGAAGGTATCATTAATTTTCATTCACCTCAGGAAATCTTTCCTAAATTGGTCAGGAATTAATCTCTGTTGACTCCTTTAAAAATATATATTTTATTTAAACTGGGGTATAGGTCAGAGGGGGTAGGGAGGGGCAGGGCAAGGTGAGAGATTCACCAGGGAGAGTAGGGAGTAGAACAGGTAGATTGACAGAAGTACACTGCTGAGCATAGCAATAGGTGAGACAGGAGAGGTCTGCTGTGCCATGCAGGTTAATTCATGTCTGGGCTCAAACTCAAACTCATTCTTGAGGGGCTGCAGATAGGTTCAGAGTGCTAAGAGAAGGCCCAGATTCTACTTCTTTAGTATCTACTTATTGTTAGCCTCCCTGCTTTTGCATTTTTCAGTCCCTCATGAATGACCACTGCTGTAAACACTCTAATAATGTCTATGCTTCCAGCCTTGCTGCTCTTCAGTCCATTCTCTTAACTGCAGTCTGCATTTTTAAAAATACACATCTAATTATGTCCCTGACTGCTTTAAAACTAAGTCTTGAAACTTGTCTGTGGAATGGAGGCAGGCAGAGGGGAAGGAGAAGAGGAGGGATGAGAACAAAAAACAGGAGTGAGCATGAGGGTCTGTGGTGGTGGACTAAGGGTTCTTTGGTAGTGGGCATATAATGGCAACGGGAATCAAGAAGGTGGTCCTACACTTCTGTTATGGAAACAATGATGTAAACCAATAGTAACACAGTACAAATCTTATAAAATAAATAATTCAAATTTTTCATTGTTCTTTAATAAATTCTAGACTCCTAGCCATGGGATTGGAAGGTATACTGCAGCCAGACTTGTTTCTGAGCCATATCATTATCAAAGTACCTCAAGTTCTATGCTTCAGCCATTCTGTGTTCACTTCAGAATGTGTTGGATATCTTTCTTAACCTCTACTTTTTCTTCCTTCTACCTCATAAACTCTTTCCACACCCACTCCTGTCATCTCAACCTCACCTCATCCCCTCATTGCTACTATTTTCTATTAATCTAAAAATTTCTCTCCAAAAATAAATTGTATTTTCTATCTAAACTTTTCTAAGTCAATGTATATGTCCTTGGACTGTAGTAGAATATTTGAAGTTTAAGGAATTTGGTATGTCCTATTCACATGTATATCCCCTTTATACCAATAAAGGGGTTCTCACTATGTGGCCCCCAAACCTGCAGCATCAGCTTTACCTGGGAATTTTTTTAGAAAAGCAAAATGTCAGACCCTACCAGAGACCCTTAATATAAGACTTGCCAATCTGTCTTTTATGAAGCCCTTCAAGTGACTCTGATGCATGGTAAAGTTTGAGAACTCTAACAAGTTTGCTGGCACTTACAAGTCTTTTGTTAAGTGAGACAAACATAATGCAAGATAATTTTCAGCCAAAAGACATTGAATCAGTCACACAATCTTGAGGGGTGTTTTTTTGTATTTTGTATGAAAGAAATATTTCTCTCATTAAGTGTCAGGTGACATTAAACATTTTAGCAGAGATTGGACATACCTAGTGTTATTTATTTTACCAAATTTTATTAAAGTTTGAGCCCATAAAGCACCATCCTATAAGATAGCAAGTATCAATGTTGCATGTTTTCTCTACATAGGTATTTAATGTCTGTATATGTTAGATAGGTTTCTCCAGAAAAACGTAATAGAATCTGTGCATAGATAGCCAGAAAGATAGAAAGCAGGAAAGAGTTTTTAATTATAAGGAATTGACTTGTGATTATAGAAAATAACAAGTCCCAAGATCTGCAAGGTGAGTCAGCTAGCTGACAACCCAAGAAAACCAATAATGTAGTTGCAGTCTGAGTCTGAAGAGCTCAGAATCAAGGGAATAGACAGTGTGGTTACAGCTAAAAGACCCTCAGGCTTGAGAACCAGGAGGAGCCAATGTTTCAACACAAGTCTAAATGCAAGAGAAAACTGATGACCTAGTTTGAAGATAATTTCAAAGAATTCTCTCCTACCTGGAGGATGTAAGTCATTTTGTTCTGTTTAGGCCTTCAGCTGATTGAAGAGGCACTACAGTAGAGAGCAACCTACTTACTCATTGTATCAGTTTAAATATTTTTCTCATCCAAAACACATACATAGAAGTGTCCACTGCAATAATTGATCAAATAATGTGGCAATTTAAGTTTGTCAAATTGACAAATAGAACTAATCCTTGCACTATATGCATAGATAATCATCACAAATAGTTACATAGCTTATTTTTAAGAATTATATTTTTAATCTTATCTAGTTATATGTAAAATTAACATAGTAACTCATTTAACATAATAAGTAAATATAATAAACAACCTCAAAATACTGTCAGTATCTCCAATCCAAATCAACTGCCAGAATCATAAATCCAAATGAACATATTAAGATAAATACATTTGCACATGCAATTAATTCTTTATGGTAACACTGAAAAGTATTCATATATGAGGCTTAAGAAAACATACGTTTAATATGTTTCTTTGAAAAGAAGTCTAAGGAGAAAGATGATTAAATAGAACTTCATGAACATCCAGTTGAATTCAATTGACATATATTGAATATCTATAATGTACAGCTTTATATTAGTTGCTAAGGAATACTAAGATTTCCTCAAGGAAAGCAAGCAATGGTACATCTTAATTATGTTACAGGTAGTATTTTCATTAGAGATATAAATGAAATATAACTATCATGAGAGATAATGCTTTATTTCTTGTTTATCTGGCATACATTGTAAATGACCTTTGCTGGACTGCATTATGAGTAGGACTTTGACAGGTGAGAGAAATTCTGGATAGAAAGAATCACTCAGGGAATGTTGAGAGATTTATTTGACATTAGCAAACAGTGCTGAAGTTTAGGTTGTGATAGGGGAAGATGTGATAACATGAGGAAAACTTAAAATCTGCCTGGAAAATGAATATGTGAGAATATGCCTTGATATCAATTTTAAGATTTTAAATATTTTAAAGATATTTTAAATTGGGAGCCATAAAAATATTGAAAAGGGGAACAATGCTTTTAATCTTTAATTTAAATGTCAGTGTTAACAATAGATTAAAATGCTGTGTAAGGACAATGCATGGTTTTATTTGTATCTACCTCACATATTTCAAAGAGGATTTGAAACAGTTTATATAATAAAAATAACACTGAAAATAAAGGCAAGAATATAAAATGACACTGGAGTCAATTTGGTACAAAAAAAAATACCTGAAATTACGATAGAGATGAGCTTGAAAGTTTAGACCTGAATCTTTAAGCAGCAAGGAAAATAGAAAATGATTATTATAAGATTAACTGTCCTCATATTCAGCTAAAAAAATCTCATTTCTTGTTCATTATTAGGATCATCTTCCCAGGATCCCTTGGCCAGATTACCCACATAAATTACCATAGTCTCTGACCCCCTTACTAAAGATGAACTGCCAATTCTCCTCTGTAAGGTCAACTCCATTTGTCATTAGCTTCCACATTCTCATACCACTCAGAAATGCTCTTTTAAAAGCAGTCTTCACACTCTCTTGTATGATCCAAATTTTCCCATTTGGATCATATTCATCAGCATAAAAGTCTTATTTTTCCAATCATTAATAACCAACAAACACCACAACAGCTCTCTTTTCTGGATCTACTACCGCACCTGTTCATAGTTTACAAAAGGAATCAAATGAGCTCTTGTTAACTCCCTTTACCGATTGGCAAAATTCTAAGTCTTCATAATATATTTCATAGACGAGGCTTGTGGAGTAGACTTACATGTGACTGATAGAGTGCAAAATGATGTAATTCATATCAGAATCAAAGATGAGTTACCCTTCCATCCATAGTCTCAAAATCATTTCATGAAAAGTAACTGAGTGTACAAAACGACATAGCATAAAACTGTTTCAAAAAACGTAACAGCAAAAGTCTGAGAAATAAGTCCTAGTTGTCCATTGATAACAAGTAGAATAAGTAGACAATGCGATAGCTGCAAAGTAGAATTTCTGCAGCAGAATAAAGAACGAGATCTTTGAACATTGATACGGAGATAATAGTGTAACTTGGGCAGTAATTTTTAAGAGTCTTGACCTCTTGAACAAGAGGAAGAAAATAAGATACATACCTATCCATATTTGCTTGAATTTTTATAAGAAACTGAAATAAACAACCAGTAAAACTGATTTACACATGTTGGACTGGCAAGGGCATTGGGGGGGGGGCAAAGTCTGTTCTAATAGTTTTTAGTCTTAATTTTCGGTTTTAAGCTATGATACTTTTAAGCAAAACATTAAATGATTCTTCTCAAATTGTGTTTTTAGTGCCTTTGGAACAATGAGTTGTGAATATGTAGTATTTGCTATTATTTTAAATTTAATTTTACCATAAAATTTAAAATAACTTTAAATTTTATTCCTAGATCCACATTTATTCTCTGGGAATGACGTTGTATTGGGGTGCTGATCATGAGGTACCTCAGAGCCAAGTAAGTCATCAAATTGTAAAGTTTCACACTTTTTAAATTATAGTGTTCTCCAACATGCTGTTAGGCACATCAGCATTTCTAAGCTGGTAATTCATTTAATGTTATGATGTCAGAATTAAATACTAAAATAATAAAGAAAAGTTTTTCTAAGAATGTTCTTAGAACTATAGCAGTCACCAACCAAGTTTCCACAATTCAGTTTATGATAGTAATGACCTCTTCAAAATTATAGCAAGACATGGGAGTATAATTTTTTCCCCAATTGAATAGCTGATAGAAGCAGATTGTAAATGTCTTTGATGATTCATTCTTTATGAAATTGACAGTCTTCTTTGATACCAGGTCTATGGAACGGTAGCTTCAGTTAATATCTGTGAATTAGTTTGTGCTTCATTTCTTTCTCTTCTTATCACTTCATAATTGTATTGTGGTATACTTGCAACAGTAGATGAAGATCATAGTAATACTTTGAGCTCGTAAGGTTCTCATGACAATGAGGCTGCTTCTAGTCTGCTTCCTAAAGTCTGGTTCCTAAAATTTAATGTAAACATGACTGTAAATAGTAAGTTTTAAAATAATTATATTTCATCAAAAAGTATATAACATAATTTTTATTTAAGACATTTAGAAGTCAAGAGCCAAAATAACTACTAATTTTTTATTAATTAAGAAATAATAATCACAGGCTTTTAGTCTAAAATTTAAAAATCTTAAGTTACATAAAGGATAAATCATATTCTTCAACTTGATTTGGTCTCATTTTGCATGACAATCATTGTATTTACTTTTTCATGTCAACTTTATAAATATAAATAAAATTAAATCATCACTGGATATATTGGTTTCATATACTATACAACCTAACTTAAATGTAAAATGTGATCACAAATTATAATTAACTCTTTTCTGGTAACAAAATGAAGTCAAATGTATAAATTGGAGGGAACTATAAACTATATTTGCTGCTACCAGAAATCATAATTATCTTGGAAATATTTAATATTAATTGTAATCTGTACTCTGTAATCAGCGCTAAGAATACAATGGCCTATGCCTGTTGACCCCAATTGTGGATACATACAACTAGATGACAGATTATAACACAGTGTAGCAAATGTTAGGGAAAATGGACAATAGTAAGAAAAAACAGACTTGGACCCTTTAACTAGACTTGGGAGATTACGATAGGTTGTTAAAAGACTTTGCTTTGAGATGAGATCTTAAAGAAATTATATCCAAACGGTGAGCATTGGCAGGGGCTCACTCGTTAAATGGAAGTAATGTAATCCCGTCATTGAGTCACATTTTACATTTAAGTTAGGTTGTACAATATATGAAGCCAATATATTCTGTGATTAGTTTGCATTTCTTGGTATGCTTACTGGTCATTTGTATATAATACTCTACAAATTATGTCAGTTACTTTGGAAGAAAACCTCACATTTTGATTTTCACCTCTTTATTTCATCAGAATAGGAAATGTTTGTGTGTGTGTTTTCAGTCAGAGAGTAGTGGAGCCAGTGTTGGAACAAGTTTTGAGGGAGACACACAATAATGCTTATGAGTCAGAAAAGACTCAGAAACTTTAAATGGTCTTAGGTCATTGAAATATACAAAATCTCTTCCAAGTTATCATAATAGCATAAATTATATTTAATATATTTTGAGTACATTTCATTTTGAATGTTAAGAAATTGTTCATTCTCCCAAAATGGGGGTATAAGGATGTGTGTGTGTAACAACTATTTGTTAAAATAATTGTTTAACAAAGACTTCCATTTCTTCATAGGGAAAAAAAAGGGACTTTCTGTAACACTTCCTATCTTGGAAGACTGATATTAACCACTTTCTGCTAATATTTTTTTAGATTATGCAGAGGTAAAGTGCAAGAAGACATATATGCTATTAGATAAAGAATGCATTTTTCCCCACATATTTGAGCTATGTTTGGTATTTTCCTGAGATTCCTGAAATGGCTTATCTTGTGTTAGATAAAAAATTTACTCGCATTTATAAACATGACTTTTCCTTTCCATATTCAGCCAATCAAACTTGGAGATCATCTCAACAGCATACTGCTTGGAATGTGTGAGGATGTTGTTTATGCCCGGGTCTCTGTTCGGACTCTCCTGGATGCCTGCAGCGCCCACATTAGGAATAGCAATTGTGCACCTTCATTCTCCTATGTGAAACAGCTGGTGAAACTGGTTCTGGGAAATCTTTCTGGGGTAAGCGACAATTCCAATTGCTACATGTTGTTCATATTTTAAAGTTTAATAGCATATCAAAATTTTTCCCTTTTTTAATTGAAGCTACTCTATAGATAGCATTTTCTCAATGAACATTAACAAAAGATTGAAATTTGTACTGATGCTGTTTATTAGAAAGAGTACTTAAAATTTAGGAGCCCTGGGCCCTCCCTGTTGGTGCAGTGGATTTAAGCACAGCACTAAGAGGCTAAAGCCAGTTCAGCATGAGTTCGATCTCTGCCTGCCCTGGAGGTGATCCAGTCAGCATGGCAGACCTCTCCTGACCTGCCTGCTGCTCCCCTCAGCAGTGTACTTTGTTGATCTGCCAGTTCTGCTCCCCACTCTGTCTTTGGTGAATCCTCTCGCTTCCCCTGAACCTCTGGCCTGTACCCCTGTTCTGTATGCATAAATAAATAAATCTTAAAAAAAAAAATTAGAAGCCCTGTCACTAGTCTCTTAGATTTTATGTGCTATTTTTTTCTGTTTCTGAACTTTACTCTAGAGTTTATCATAGAATCAGAGTATGTTAGCGTTAACAGTGTCTGTCCTTGCCTCCTTTCTTACATCTTCACCTGAGGAATTTTAGAACATGTTTCTGTTTTTTTGTGAATATGCCTAGAGAAAAATACATTGATATGAAAAATGGGCTTTAAAATTACTTACGTATATTTTATATTACTTTATACTTATTAAGTAGCCATTCATTTGTCTGTTTTCAGCCTGAAGTTTAGATCTTGTCAGACTGAAAACCTCCCCAATTTCTCTGGACACCAGCGTTTGGTGTGCCAGGAGAATACGTGCTTGCATGTCCCTGCCAGACTGCACCAAGTCCTGAATAAACTATCTTCTCTAAACTCTTTAAAGTTCTACATCAGTTTTCTTAATTATAAAATACAAAGTATGGTATGAAAAGTAATACAAGCTTTAAAAGGTTGAAATTTTAAGGGGAAACAATACAAAATATGACTGCATTAAAAATAGCACTTTTCTGGCCCTCCCTGGTGGCACAGCAGGTTAAAGCACTGCACTAAGAAGCTTAAGCCACTTCCTCATGAGTTCAATCCCCGCCTGCCCCGGAGGAGATCCACATGGCATGGCAGACTTCTCCTGACCCGCCCGTTGCTCCCCTCAGCAGTGTACTTCATTGATCTGCCTGTTCTGCTCCCCACTCTGTCCCTGGTAAATCCTCTCACCCTCTGCATCTCTGGCCTGTACCCCAGTTCTGTATGGATAAATAAATAAATCTTAAAAAAAATAGCACTTTTCAACTATATAGATGAGATAGAAAGTAATCTTGAATAAATGCTATGGCATGGGAAAGATCATAGTATGTTTGAGGGCAATAAGTCTGGCAAACAGTTGTGAAGATAATTATTTCCGTGTTTATTGACAACTTTAACTTCCTTAGAATTTTTCTTTTTTACTATTTTCCCCTGATTTATATTTAGGATAATAATAATATGTACCACATCAGGATTTTTTTTCCCCGAGAATTAAAGAGTATATAAGGTCTTAAATACTTAGATATAAAGTATGTAAACACCTGCCTTATAGTAATTGCTTGATTAATAGCAGCTGCTGTTAATAATGCCAATTCAGGAATTTTCAAAGATACCATATGTCCTTTGTCTTTTTAGTTGCTGATAGTATAATGCAATCTGAACCAGTATCATCTAAATATCATTTAGAAAATGTTTTTATTTGATTGTCTTACAGGTAGGAAACATTCCTTGAATATACTATCTTAGATGTACTTAATCCATGTGCAAGCAAGTTTTATTTAAGTTTCAATTAATAGATATATATTACAACCCATATATATGTATGTATATGTGTTCTTGGTGTTAAATTTACATACATTCCTCTCTTTTCATTTATTTCTTGGAATTTTTCCTTGAATCATCTGAATAAATTTTGTTCTAATTTTTTTTTAAAGATTTATTTATTTGTGCATACAGAACTGGGGTACAGGCCAGAGGTGCAGGGGCAGTGAGAGGATTCACTAGAGACAGGTTGGGGAGCAGAACAGGCAGATGTACTGAAATACCCTGCTGAGGGGAGCAGCAAGCAGGTCAGGAGAGGTCTGCCGCACCATGTGTGTCACTTCCTGGGGTAGGCGGGGATCAAACTCGTGCAGAAGTGGCATTAGCTTCTTAGTGCTGTACTTTAACCCGCTGCGCCACCAGGGAGGGCCCTATCTTTACAGTTTTTAATTTGATTGCCTATGTTTGATAGTTTGCAGTACTTTTTTAGCACCTACTTCTTGCTTTTTATTTTCTGAGGATGAATTGTCCAGAATTGGGCTACATACACCCTATTAAAGGAAAATACAGATTAACAACAACAAATGTACAATGCCTTTATTTCCTGCTGTGCCCTGCACCAAAAAACAAAACAAAAATTGTATATTTAGTGTCAATCCATAGGTAATTGCCATGAAAGAAAAAAGGAAATTCTTTTGTCACATTTGATTCTTGATTATCTGTGTACAGACAGATCAGCATTCCCATAACAGTGAACAAAAGCCTGATCGAAGCCAAGCTATTCGAGACCGACTGAGAGGAAAAGGATTGCCAACAGGTAAGAGTATGTTAATATAAAAATTATAACATTTTCCATTGTTTTCTTTATGAAATCATACTTAACTGACTTGGGGACCTGATTTATAGTAACTATATTGAACATAAGTATGCAAAGTAGAGACAGGAAAGAGCCAGGAACTCTTGCTATATTAACATATAAGTACATAAAAACAATGTAAAAAATGTTAAATGTCAGGACTCCCACAGTAAATTATTTCCCTTTAAAAATTATTATAGCAATAGTGTCATTTATTAACTTTCTAATGTTATTTATTAAACATATATTTTAAAGTAAAATGATGAAGTGAATTTAAACACTATTGAAACAAGTTTCAAACAGCAATATTACTCTTACTTATGCTCTGTTATTTTTGTATCCCCTTTTTTACTAGTACAACCTATTAAGTTAATTTTTATGGCCAACTAATTTCTTGATTTTGCAGTTATCAAAAAGTGCCTTAGGTTACCAAAACTCATGAGGTGGGTGTTTTACTACTTGCCAGTCACTTTCATTATGGGTCCTATGCTGATGATTTTTGAAGAAATGAGTGAAAGTTCCAAATGTAGAATGAGAATAAAACATATATTTTTACATGAAAAATGATTTTTCAGTATTTTCAGACGTGCCTTATTTGTAAAATGAAATGTTGAGTTTGTTGATTGTTCTCTTTATTGCTCAAAATGCAATTTAACAAAAATATTTTGTGGATGAGATGTTTTATTGTCTTAAATGGGAGTGGGAAGAAATATTACTTAAATATATTTTAATTAATCAGATAATAAACACAACTATCTTATTTAAAGCATATGAGAAACAGTGAAAATGACATATAGGTATTTGGTTATCTAGGCCAATTTTTTTTTTTTGCAGAATTCAGAAGTATTATAACTAAAGGAAGAATGTAATCTAATAAAAGTTACTGCTTATCTCAAGAAGTCAAAGAAAATCAGTAAAATCACCTCTAATTTGTCTCTTTTGGTACCTATTATTTAATTATTGTGCATAAGTATTATTTTTCTAAAAAGTATCTTATCTTTCATCAGTAAACGAAATTTCTGATAAAATAAGGTTCCTTTGCTAATACACATATTAGTTTATGCATAGATAAAAAAAGTACGTAGACTTTATTTAACTTAGATTTACAATGGTTTGACAGCAACTTCAAATGTTTCTTTACCATTTATTGTGTTATTTACTGTACTTAATGTTCCCACATATATAGACACATTTTCTTCCAGATAGAAATCTGATTTCCTTCATTTTAAATTATACAAGGAGTTAGATAATTTATAGTGTCAAACTTGGTATTAAGAGCAGCAGTACGTTGCTAATCCATCAATTTTTTTTTTTAGCCAATCTACTGTTTGAGAACTGAATAGTAGGAAATTATAGATGAACACCAGTAACAAGCTGAAAAGAATAATTTTTTTTTAAGATTTATTTATTTATTCGTACAGAAGTGGGGTACGGCCAGAGATATGGAGGGTGAGAGGATTCACCAGAGACAGGACGGGGAGTAGAACAGGCAGATCCACGAAGTACACTGCTGAGGGGAGCAGCGGGCGGGTCAGGAGAGGTCTGCCACGCAATGTGGATCTTCTCCGGGGCAGGCGGGGATCGAACTCATGAGGAAGTGGCTAAAGCTTCTTAGTGCAGTACTTTAACCTGCTGTGCCACCAGGGAGAGCCCTGAAAAGAATAATTTTTAAGGGATAATAAACTTTCAAGACATAATGAACTGTACTAAGTGAAATATTAGATTTAAAAGATATGAATTATTTCTCTAACTAATCTTTTTCTCTGCCCTTCTCTCTGTATTCCTCTTTGCCACTAGTTTCTTTCTGAACTTCCCTTCTATCATTTTTTTTTCATTTTTATACAATGTATACTTTCTCATCTCAGTCCTAGCCCCATGAACAAGACAAGGATGTCCACTCTCACCACTGCTTCTTAATATAATACTGGAAGTCCTAGCCAGAGTAATAAGACAAGAGAAAGACATACAAGGAAACTTTCTATCATTTCTTACTATCACAAAATAGTTATGTATTGGAATTAGTCTATATGTTTCTTGTTGACTAAATAATGTCATTTATTAAATATAATTTAGATTATATTATTTTCAATGATTCAAAGTCTTTTATTTTAAAGATTTACTTATTTATGCATACAAGAACTGGGGTGTAGGCCAGAGATGTGCAAGGTGAGAAGCTTCACCAGAGTCAGTGAGGAGCAGAAAAGGTGGATTGACTGAAATATACTGCTGAGGGGATCAGCAGCTGAGACAGGAAAGGTCTGCTGCACCATGTGGTTAGCTCCCTAGCCAAGAATGGAACTCATCCGCAGTGACTGGAGATAGCTTGATAGTCTAGACTTTAACCCCTGAGCCACCAGAGAGGCCCATTTAGTCTTCTATAGGCATTAATTATTATATAATATTTTTGAAGTAACAGATTGTACTTAATCTTTACCTATTCTATAACATTACTTAAATAGCATGTTTTTTATTTGTCATTTATGAACTTTTTTTTAAGATTTCTTTTTTTTTAATAAGATTTATTTATGCATACAGAACTGGGGTACAGGCCAGAAGTGCAGGGGCAGTGAGAGGATTCATCAGAGATAGTGTGGGGGGCAGAACAGGAAGACAAGTACACTGCTGAGAGGAGCAGTGGTCGAGACAGGAGAGGTCTGCTGTGGAATCATTTCCCTGGCAGGGGATAGAACTCACACTGAAGCATCTGTGGCTGGCTTGTAGTGCTGTGTCCTAAACCTTGAGCCACCAGTGAGGGCCTATATATGTATTTTTTTTTTTTTTAAATAAAGGACCATGCAAAGGTTAAGCTTTCTTCATGTGTAGAAGCTAAAGATAGGGAAAACCTTTATTAAGTATTTTAGTTTTTGTAAGTCTGACTGAAATAAAATGAGTATTTGTTGATTGACTGGATATGAAAGAAGGTTTTATAAAATTACTAGATTTGTAATACAATTTTAATGAGACTAGTTTATTTCTTTAGATAACCTTTTTTTGAACTTTAATTTATATGAAAAGTAAGCAGAAATGAACTGTAGTTCATCTTCTTAGCTCATATCATCGTGTAATTTTCTTATTAGAAATATCAGAAGTTTTTAACCAAATGATTAATACCTTTTATTTGTGACTTTTGTTTTACAATGTCAAGAAAGACTCAGTGTTATTGTCTTTACAGTTCTTTAGAAATATTGTGACTGTTCAGCCCACTGCTCCCCACAGCTGTGTACTTCATCAGTCTGCATGTTCTGCTCCCTACTCTGTGGTGGATCCTCTCAGTTCTGTGCCTGTACCTCTGTGCCCCAGTTCTGTTGCTTCAATAAATCTTTTTAAAAAAAAAAAGAATAAAAATTAATCACTGTTCATTAACTTTATTCTTTAATAATCATACCTCTCTTTTGGAGAATAAAAATGTCCCTGTATCTGAACTCAAGATAATGTGTAAGGAATCAGTTTATCAGAATAAATCAAGTTTCATTTATGCTTCATAGCTTGTAGTAGAATCATTATCCTTAAACTTAAAGAAATAGTATTCTTTTTTGGATCAAATGACATGTAAAGGATTTCTCAGACAATCTTGGTCATTGCTCTCTAACAAACCTCTTCTGCCCCGGGGCTTTAATGTACATTTGAAAATTTTAAAACTACATGTCAAGGACAAAATCAGTAGAATATACCAAATTATAGCTATTACCAGAAAGAAGCATTTAACAGCTGATGGCATTTACTCATTTAAAAACATTAAGAAATAAAATAAAATAAAATAAAAACATTAAGATTGAAAAAAATTACCTCTTGAAGAAGAAATATTCTTCTAGGACATTGTTACTTTTGAGCAGTAACAGTGACTATCAATGGTCACTTGCAGCATTATATTAGTAGTGAAGTGTTCTCTTTCAGGCAAAGCAACCTAAAACGTTTATATATAAAGCCATATCATGAGTTTTAGATTATTGGGCTCCAAACAAAAGCCTTTAATAAGGAACATGTCAAGGGGCAAAATTAGATTAAAAGAAGTAAATTTTAAAAAGTGAGCAATTTTAGGGATATTGCTTTGTTAGCTTAATTTTGACTATTCAGCTAAAACAAACCATTTTCATCTATGAATACACAATCTTAAAACAAGTCTCTATATCTTACCTCTTGAGATCTGTCACAGAAGCTAAAACTTAACATAGGGGGCCTTCTGTCTCCACTTGGTTATTTAATACTGTCAGTGCTGATAAAATTTCTTCACTTAGCAGAAAGAAATCAAACATTTCCTGCCAAGCTGAAGGGAGAAACACACACCATGATCAGATGGGCATGATAGTGCTTCAGAACTTGGGTGTGTTGATAATATCATGTTTCTTTTTTTTTTTTATGTACTTGCACACATTTATGAGGACAGATGGGGAGCTGGGGAGGCTTTTTTTTTTTTTAATACTGAAATGTCATTTCAAAGTTAGTTTCTAAAAGATATTATAATTTTTTTGACTTAGTAGGGGTGGAGGAAAGATGAATGATGGCAGTGAAGGATAATGTTAATCATATATAACAAAAACAGTTAAAATTTTATAAGTACAAATAAACTTTAAGATGCAAATATATTTTACAAGGAAGATTTTTTTAATAAAATAAATGGAATGTGTTCTGTTATGAAGATGATTTTTATTCTTAAAATCTTCATAGCACATTTATTGTACCCCATAAGTTTTCAGCATGCTGTGCACACTCCAAAATAAAATGCTTATGGTTCATTTTTAAATTTGGTGATTTGTCATTGTGTGTAATGTGTCTATAAGCTCTGTCACCTCAGAGCCAACTTAAGTGATAGAAAATTGACTTGTAGTCACCTCTTATACTATTTTAAGTACTGTGATTTTTTTTTTAATCTGAAACTTCTGATTTCTGGTTTCATGACTTCCTATCAGAAAAACTGTTAAATTACCCTTCAAAGTAATTATATGCTGAGGAAACTAAAGCAG